CACACAGAGCAGGAATACTCGTCAGGGGGAGCTGGAAGACCAAACACATCCCAGGTCCTGGCTTCACCTCCTCTGTGGGATGGCTTTGGAAGAGGTTTCGGAGCCTCTGGGCTGAGGCAGCAGCGCAGCACTTGGTCACTTTGCTCCCGGAGCAACCCTTCACCTGTTCCCCATTCCTGGAGTCCTGCCTTTTGGGCCATGAGAGCTGCCAAGTGCCAGGCAGCGCTGGAAAGCCAGCCTTTATTTATACGCTCAGCTGGGAAGCAAAGCTCTTCTGAAGACAGAGCTAATTTTAGCTGGGACAAGGGGAGGGGCTGAGCCACAAACCACGCTGGAAAAATCCCGCTCCACCGGTTTGCAGGTGTTTTCTGTAGGATTTGAGGCACCCGGATCCCGGGATCCCAGAGCACAGCAAGTGTTAACGACAGCACAGGGGAGCGTGGGGATAGAGAGCAGAGGGAGCCAGGCCCTGCTCCGAGCTGCCTCCCAGGAACTGAACTCTTGCTGGAGCTGGGTCAGGCTGCGGCTGTTCCCAATTGGAGCTGTAAAGGGGGAGGGCGAGGGGAACCTCCCAAAATAAACGCCAGCCCACGCTCCGGCACACATGACTCTTCCCCTGGGGAAGGAGGGGAGCGCAGGAGCCAAATGTGACACGAGTGAGTCACTGCTCAGCACGGCAAGAGGGGGAGCTCCATCCTCCCCCATGCCGGGGGCTCCCAGCCAGAACGGGTCCAGCAGCAGGACTTGACCAGCCTCTGCCCTGGGCTCCCTGCTGCCCGTCCCCTTGCTTTTAGAGCTCCTTGTTTTGCATAACAGCCCCTGGTGAGATTAAAACTGCAGGAGGGAGAGGAGGGAGCCGCAGAAGTTGCCTAATGGAACAGCGGAGGGTTGCCAGGAAGAGGAATTTACTCTCCCAACTATGGAAAGGGTGCTCTGAAGAACAGGGGGACCCACAGGGAGGAGATGGTTCCCTGCAGGCAGCGAGGAGCCAGACAGGCTGCAGGAGAGCAGGGATCAGAGAGCCCGAGCGCTCCCGTCTTCCCCCTCTGCTTCCATCCAGAGTGGTACCAAGAAACGTGTAATCTTATTTATGCTTCATTTGGAGTTAATTGATCTTAACTTGATAAATCAACTTACACCCAGCGGAGGAGGCAGCTCCGAGTTAGCTTTAAGCAGTTACACCAAATCCTCTTTCGGGGTTTCTGCTTAAAGCCTCAGTTTAGGGGGCCCCGTGATACGTGGTTTGGGTTTGGTTTAATCTTCCTCCAGCTCGCATTCCAGTGTTCCCAGGGCTCAGGCTTTCCGTGTCCCGAGAGGCGGAAGGTAGAGAGGCACACCCGTGCCCAGCAGGGTTCCGGGTGGATTCCCCCGTGCTCACACTGTAGACAGAGAAAGTGACAGCTTTTATCTCTCCTTTGCTACCTTTTCCCTCCCTGTTGACTCAGACGCGTCCTTCGCA